AAAACAGTTCCCATGTTTTCATTTGTTTTGCTATTTTATCATTATATCAAAAACAATTAAGTCATCAATTACTTTTTAATAGTTACAAATAATAAATATTGTAGGCACCATGGCTGCAAAAAAGACAAGAGGTTGCAGAGAACCAAGGGATATTAATGTGGAAACTTATACAAATGTAGCAGAGAACATGTCTCCATTATTATCAAGCCAAAGCACAAGCAAATCACATTCATTTTCAAGAACTAATTCAGAAGAGACATCATTTGTAAATTCTAATCCTGTCATGAGTTCTGGAGAAATAATTGGTGCTGCAGCTTGTACTTCATCTGATCAAATAAATTTCATCTCTGGGAATCCTTTTGTTGAAGTTACAAAAGGTATTCTCCACCTCTTTAAGGAAGAGTAAGTCATATCTTTTTTATTTTAGTAAATGAAATTATATATTATGTATATTATATATGATTTCTATATAAGGCACGATCATCTTTGAATTATAAACATTAAAACAAAGAAATTGATCATATTTCAGCTATAATAGAACACTTTAATTTTAATTTGATTATGAAACTTAGTCACAAGTATATACTATTAAACATTGCAAAATTGCAATAATTGTTAGTATAATACATAATGTCTCTAAACATTTCTACCAAGGAAAAAACTTTAAATCAAATAAGATATTTTTGTATAATCAACGGTTTAATTAAAAATATAATTATTTATAATTTTTTTTCTTTATTATATGTACAGTGAATTGACTGCAATGCACTGTGCTGCAGATCGCAGTCATACCATCTGTATCTTGTCAGTACCAGCAACAATGACTTGCCACGATCTGTTAACTTTCACAGCAGCTTGTCATCAGGACATACAATATTTTAGGATTCTCAGAGATGGCAGCCCGAACCAATATATGGCTTTAATCACTTTTAGATCATCAGTAAGTGAATAAATGTTTGAACAACATACTTTTGCAATATATATATTTTTAAGTCTCGGCTTTTTTGGATAATTATATTGATTTTGTGATGTCATAAGCAAAAAATAAAATGCAATAATTTCCTTATAATATATAACTTTACTTTTTAGTTTATTTTTAAAAACATAATAATTTCATGGTTTTGAAACTTATAAAATATGCAGAAAAATGAAATATATGTTTGATCTATCATTTTTAAAATAATTCTTAAAATAACAAGTCATTTTTCAACTTTGCTCAAGCAGCTGTGATATTTAAGCGTAATTGAAAAATGACCTGTTTCAAAAATTATTTTATCCTTTAACATGATAAATCAAACAGATATCTCATTTTTCTTTCTCTGTATATTTTAGAAGTTTCAAGACTATGAAATTATTATATTTTTAAGGCAAAACTAAAAAGCTATACATTAAAGCTATACAGTAAAGCTATATATCATAAGGAAATTAGTGCACGTCATTTCTCACCTATGATATCATAAACTGTAATTGTAATATGATTGCAGCAAAAGAGCCGAGCCTTAATAAGCTGAAAAAATTCAACTTTATATATAAATTTAAATATGTTTTACTATAACATTCAAAATTATGATAATTTTATTAGTGAAGAATTGAAAATATATTATCTATAGTTACATTTGTTTAAATTATCAAACTTAAAAGTAAATTTTTGTAACATTTTAGAGCGCAGCGAGCGAATTTTATGAAACGTTCAATGGTGCTCCTTATAACTCTCTAGAACCGGATGTGGTTTGTCACATGGTGTTTGTATCTCGAGTTGAAGTAGGAGACAATGGAATGTCCCTAAATGGACACACTGAGTTACCATCATGTCCTGTTTGTCTAGAAAGGATGGATGAGAGTGTAGATGGAATTCTGACGATATTGTGCAATCATACCTTCCATTCTAGCTGCCTTGTCAAATGGGGTGATACATCTTGTCCAATCTGTCGATATGCCCAAACGCCAGAGCCATTAGCAGATAGTCGTTGCATGGAATGTGGTAAGTGTTAGTTTTACAGGTTATTTGATTCTAATTTTATAAAATATGCAATTCTTCAAAAAGTAAGGAGTTCGAATTATTTTATATAATTCTACATTATATAGAATATTAGCTCCTTTTTTCTTTTCTTTCGAAAAAGAGTTTTGGTTTATCTATTAAAGGCTTCTTTTAGCATATTGTATATGGATCTCTTTAGTTGCAGATACCAGTAATGATGCACTGTGGATTTGCCTGATCTGTGGTCACGTTGGCTGTTCACGTTATCACCAGGGTCATGCATTTGAACATTATCGAGACACACATCATTGTTATGCGATGCAGTTAGGCAATAATCGCGTCTGGGATTACGTAGGAGACAATTTTGTACACCGTTTATTACAGGATAAAGATGGTAAAATGGTGGAAGGTCATTCCACAACTAAAGACGAAGGTGCTGCTGTAGAGGATAAGGTAGATTCAGTGCAGCTAGAGTTTTCATATTTACTAACGTCACAGTTGGAAACGCAACGGCAATATTATGAAGAAAGACTCAATCGTGTGGAACAACGATCCATGGCAGAGATTACTGAATTAAGTGATAAATTGGAAAAAGTCCTTGAGGAAAACTCGCAATTTAAGGTATATGATTTTTTAAAACATCAATATAGTGGTAAAATACGTATTCTTTTTCTTTCATTCTTTTTTTTTCTTTTTTGTATTTATTTCTAATTTTTCCAATTTTTTATTTTTTCTCTTCTTAATTACAAAGAAAAAATTTTTTATCAGAAACAATTTGCAACGCTCGATCGCGACAAGCAGACACTGGATAAACGTTTACAGCATTCCACTAGTAAGTTGGCGCAAATACAAGCGGAATTGACAGAGGAAAAAGATCTGCGAAAAGCTTTACAATCAAACCAGATTTCATGGCAGGCAAAATATAAGAAATTGCAAGATGAATTGTCTACCAAAGAAGCAGAAATAACCGATTTGAAAGAACAAAACCGAGATCTTATGTTTTTTCTTGATGCTCAAAAACAAATAGATGGATCCATTAATCGAGACGAAATTGTTTCTGGTCGTATTGTTATTCCTCCAAATCTGAAAGATGGGAAATCATCAAGCTCGCGAGGACATAAAAATCAAAAGAAATATTAGTTATCAAAGATTGTTAAATATTTAAATTAGAAATTTTTTGATCCGTTTAAATTCGAATTTTTCATACTGAGCTTTTTTAATTATTTTTTCAATCTGTTTCATAATTTTTCAATCTGCAAAAAAAATAATGAATATCAATTAAAAAAAAAATTATAATGAAACAACATTTCTATAAAATTGAAATTGATTTTGGATAACGAAAAAGGAATAATGTATTATTTTGTAATAACAATTTTATTTATTATTATTAAATTGTTTATTTTTTTTATTTGCTGACA